CCCGGGATGTATTTTCCTGATTACAATCTAAATCCCTCCGTTGGGGAGTGCTGACCGGATATAATGTAACAATCTTATGGGCAGGTTTACCGTATTTTTCCATAAGACGCACCTAGAGAGGGTTCCGTGTAGTTCCTGACAGCTGAGGCAGGTGGCGCTGTGATTACATTGTGATTACAGCGGCACGGTCTCAGGGATCACACGAAGAACGGACGTTCTCCGCTTGCTCTACGGGCTCTATGGTGAGCTCCTATGCCGCGGTCACGGGTCCCCCAGAGTAGCGGGGGACACCCAAGAATTGTTCAAATTCTGCTTAAAAAATAAATTTCGGTAACATTTTATGTTCCTTGTGGCCTTGTTCTGATGTCTTTTGTTGTTTGGTGGCATGATGACCAAACAAGTCGCAGAGTAAGACGATTTATAAGCCCCGTATTTTGTTCTATTTCAAAGTACCAAATATATTAGATTTCTAAAGTGCTAATTGATGAAGATCCATAAATAAGTCGTATTGTAGAAGAGTTCGTTTCTTTGTACCGGTCGTGACCCATTCCTATACAGCTGTCCGTACCTGTCATGAAAACCGCGCCCATCCCCCCCCCCAGCGGTCTTGCCAAAAGTACCAGAATAAAAAAAACCCTGAAAGTTGGCCGAATGCCACTTTCTTGGCCAGCGAAATTTGGTAAAAAATTGGCAATTATGCAACAGGATTCCGAGTTGCGAATGAAACGCGTGTTTTAATTATACAAAAAGTCCTATTGCTAAAAAATGAGAGAGAATGCCGATTTGTTAGATTTCAGAATGTCAGCACCTGACGTAATATGATAGAAGAATACCCGAGATGTATTTACAGAGGAGTTATGAGACTCGCGTTCCCTTTTTTGTTGTTTTTATGCTGCAGCAAATGTTCTGTATCTAGAAAATCGTTTGAAACATTGAAAAAAAAAAATGTATCGTCTATGGAGGTATTTGGGAAAATTCCTAAAAAGAAAGAAAACTATCACAGGGACCTCATTGCACTTATTCAGGGGGGCGGGGCGGGGGGGTACGGGACTAAGCTCTACAATACAGCGTAGATTGACTATATTTAGGATAACACATTGGACAGCTATGCAGGCCTAATCCTCAACCAATCATTATACAGCCACAAACAAGTTCTACACCCTCTGCGGGAGAGATAAAAACGTTTTACTACTTTCTGTAAAAAAAAAGTTATTTTTGAGAAAACTTTAAGCTTCCTGCATAAAAAATATTTTTTTTAAATTTAATTTGGGGGGACATTTTTCAGCATGCCGACATGCTATCATAAAAAA